ACTTGAACTGGGCCATCAACCCTCTAGCCTAAATTGAATTAGGGTTAGAAAAACCAACCCCATTGAACCTACAATTCGGTCAAACCAATTTGGACCAAATCTGGTGTAAATCGGCCCAAGTTTTGGTGTCCAATTCAAGATTTAATTCAGGAATAATAATCTAAAAAATAAATTAATTCAAGATAATCAAATTATCAAGCAATTGAAATCAGAGAGCTGCACTATGATTTTCTTGGATATCTTGCAAACTTGCAAAGAACAGTTAATCGCAGATTGCAAAATTGATATCTGCAAAATCGCAGATCGTAGAACTCCATTCCGCGAAATCTTCTTCTCCTCTGTTGCGCACTTCAGCAATGTTCAAATGGAAATAAAATAGAAAAACCTAATTTTTCTATTATTACATCACATTGAATTCCTATACAATTTGTCTAAAAAAAGGTTATTTTATAGACCAAAATTGAATAAAAAAGAAATCGCAGGGTGCGCCAATCTTGGCACCAAAAAGATTTGATCTCCATCACATGTGCAGCCCAAAATTTCAAGAAACATTCACAGAACAATTCTATAAATACGACAGAACAATAAAGATTTATTTTCTAGATCATCTACCCAAAATCTGGAAACCAATTTCTAGAAAAAACGCCAACTACGCAAATCGGGTAGAACACCTTCTGCCCATTTGCGCAGATACAGATCTGTACTAATTTGGTTCAAGATTTGAACCTGGCTTTGATACCACTAAAGGGATGAGAGATCCATCATATGGATGGTCAAACCCTGCAGGAAGGTTGGGCGAAATTTCAAAAATTTCTTTATTCCCATTCGGGAATCCTATTCCCAATTTAGAAAACTACATTTTCAAGGTTCGTTCTTGTGACCAAACCGGACCAAATCCGAAACCAAGATTAGGGAGGGATATACCTGATATGAAATCCACGCAAAAAGCTCCTCCCAACGTAGGTGTTCTTGCCCAAAGAGTGTACCAAATCCTTCCTCCAATGAAGATGACACAGCTTAGGATGAGGCAGGATCAGCAGGTAGTTCTACACCAAGAACTTGTGATTCTTCAGCAAGTATCGAATGGGGTAGTGAGCACAGCTTCAAATTGTTTCTTTCAGCAAGAAACAATATCAAGATCAAATCTTGATTAGATCCAAGAACTAGAGATCGAATAGGGTAGGGCGGCAAGAGCAGGAAGAAAAAGAACTAAAGGCAAGATCAGTCCAACTGACTTGTCTTCTCTCTGTGTTGTGTCTGGTGTCTTTTTCAGGTATGCCCTACTCTCTATTATAACCTTAAAGAGATAGCCTCCTAATCTTTAAGTGATAAAGATAATCCCTTATCTTATCTGCAGTTCAAAATCAACTTATTTCTAATCAAATTAGGAGTTTCCTGATCCAAATATTTGGATCTGGACTCTTTAAGTGGACAAGAGTTATCCCCTTATCCTTATCTGTTGATCCAAACCCAGATCTGCCCCTATTAAATTAATCCAATTAACCCAGTTCGAAATGGGCTTTTAGGCCCATTAAGTTTTCAGGCTCACTTCCTTTTAATGCTGGTGGGCATGGCTCTCTTTGTATGGCGTGGGACCCTAACATTGCTGTATACATCAACCACATGGGTTCAGCCCAACCTCTGCTACAAGGTCTGGCCGAATTCACTGCTAAATATAGTGAACCCCTAAGTCCATCACCATGGGCTCTTAATGTGTCCAGCATTTACACTAAATGGTCCTTGGGTCCAGCCATCTTATGAAGGCCCAAGGACTGTGGGTAGATGCAAAATTAGCCCATCAAGTATAACCCTCAATGGTCTTACACTTAACCTCTCCCACGGCTGCAAGGTTTAGTGTCGCACTCTCCAGTCACATGGATCCCAGGAATTAAAACCTTTTGCAAACATTTTGAAACCATAATGTATATGTATATCTCCATATAAATATATTTTGCAAAAACAAATTTTAACGGTTGAAATCAACTGTTGGTAGTTTAGGTCTTCATCAGAGAGAGTGCATCCCTGATCATTCACTTTGTCTAACAAAGGGGTTGATCTTGTCACTATGATCATTCAGTCAGATGAATTCTCGGACTGTCCCAACATACCCAGGTTTTGACCCCCTCTAAGGATCTTACTGATTGGCACATCTAAGACAGCCCAATCCGATACCTAGTGTAGTATCATAATCGAGTCTAGGGGTCAGGTGTAACATTCCAATTTTTCTCATCTATCTCCAAGGTCCAGGGCATTACTGGAATTTTGGTCCGGTTCAGGGTTTCAAGTAAACCCACACTGCATGTACCTCAGGTCTCACCCTGGCGGCTGAGACAAGCCACCCCAACCAACTTGGCGGCACATCAGTGTCAGCCTTGGCAGGATAAATCTCCCCAGATCTATCCAACGGCTGTGAATATTCTAAACTAACACGAGTCTCATATGTGTCCAATTTAAGGGTATTACACAGAAACACACCACAATAACATGAATCAAATATGTACTTAATTCATTTACAATAAATGTCATAATGTACATCATGTTGATTGGAGGTAAGGGCATACACTGTCTAACATTCAATTACAAGAACGAAGACACAGAACCAGCAGCCTACAATAGCAATACTGCTCCTTTGTCTCAGTCTTCCTTCGATCCAACTTGGTACCCAGATAGTGGCGCAACACATCACATGACGCCAGATGTCGACAATCTGCAAACTCAATCTGAATATGGTGGGTCAGATCAAGTGAAAGTTGGTAATGGTTCAGGTTTGGAAATAAAGAATATTGGTTCTTCAATTTTACATACTGCTACTCGCCAGTTTTCTTTAAATAATATTTTTCATGTATCGGAGCTCTCAAAAAATTTGCTCGAGGTAACAAATTGTTCTTTGAGTTTCTTGGTGATTATTTTCTTTTAAAGGATTATACAGGGAGCATCCTACTACGAGGAACCAGTAGAGGCGGGTTGTCTAGGTTTCTGGGTGGGGTGATTCATACAAACCATCCTTTTGCATTGATTGGCGAGAATGCTTCTATTAATGATTGGCACAAACGTCTTGGGCATCCCGCAGTGCGAGTAGTCAAGCAAGTTGTCACAAGTTGTCACCCAGTTCTGTTAATGGTTCTTCAATTTTACAGACTGCTACTCACCAGTTTTCTTTAAATAAAATTTTTCATGTATCGGAGCTCTCCAAAAATCTACTTTTTGTCTAAAAATTTGCTCGAGATAACAAATTGATCTTTGAGTTTTCTAGTGATTATTTTCTTGTAAAGGATTATACAGGGAACATCCTACTACGAGGAACCAGTAGAGGCAGGTTGTATCGGTTTCTAGGTGAGGTGATTCATACAAATCATCCTTCTGCATTGATTGGCGAGAATGCTTCTATTAATGATTGGCACAAACATCTTGGGCATCCCGCAATGCGAGTAGTCAAGCAAGTTGTCACCCAGTTTAGTCTCCCCTATGAAGGTCAACTTTTTTCAGCACTAATTCATCTTGTGAGTCATGTCAAGTCTGTAAGAGTTATATGTTACCTTTCCCCTCATCCTCCTCAATTGTCTCTCGTCCACTAGATTTAATTTTTTCAGATGTATGGGGCCAACCCCAATTTTATCAAATGTAGGGTTTCATATTGTGTAATTTTCGTTGATGCTTTTAGTAGGTTTTCTTGGTTATTTCTATTGCACCGGAAAACAGATGTGTTTGATGTCTTTTTATCTTTTAAGCGTCATGTCAAAAATTTATTTGAGACCAAAATCAAGGCTTTGCAATCGAACTGGGGTGGAGAATACCACAAACTGTCTTTTTACTTGGACTCTGTTGGCATTACTCATCGACTTGCCTGCCCTCATACAAATGAACAGGATGGATGTGCTGAACGGAAACATCGTCACATCATTGAAGCAACCTTGTCTTTTCTGGCTTCCTCGTCGCTCCCCTTCTCCTTCTGGGCTGAAGCCGTCCTTACAATAGTTTATCTGATTATTCGGCTTCCTATTGCCACTCTCTAGCACATGTCTCTATACGAGGTTCTCTTTGGCTCTCCTCCAAATTACAGATTCCTTAAAATTTTTGGATGTGCTTGTTATCCTATGCTTCGGCCGTACAATCGCCATAAATTTGATTTTCATTCCTAGTAGTGCATTTTCCTTGGCTACAGCAACAAGTATAAGGGGTATTGCTGTCTGCACCCTGCGACTAGGAAGGAGTACGTCTCCAGACATGTTATTTTTGATGAGCACAAGTTCCTAGGGTATTCTGCGATTGCTCCCACTAACTCTGTTTTCCCTACTGGGGTATATCTACAACCGTTGCCGCCACCTCCAGCTACTTCTCCAGCTTCTCCTCCGGAATCATCAGTATCCGACTCACTACTACAAAGTGGTTCAGATCCGCTATCTCCAACTAACGACATTATTCCCTTGGCTTCTTCTTCAACAAGTGCGACCTCTCCTGAGATCAGACCTCGTGGGACCCATCCCATGCAGGATATTCTTGCTGCATCAGTACCTATTGCTTCTCAACCTTCTCGTTAGCACCATATGGTGACTCGATCGATGGATGGGTCTCTCCCACCTCGTTCAAATCTCGCACCCAGGTATCTCTTACCACAGTTTCTGGTAGTTCATTATGGAGATGATACTTCGGAACCCTCTGGGTATTCACAAGCAGTCAAATCTGCTCATTGACGTGATGCCATGACTAAATAATTTAATGCTTTGGTTTCTAATGGTACTACTTTCAGCTCGATTGTCAAACCTATAACCATTCGTACCACTCTCTCTCTTGCTGTGATGAATCAATGGTGTATACATCAGATTGATTTTGATAATACTTTCTTGAATGGGGTGCTTCCTGAGGATATCTACATTAGATAGCCTAAGGGTTTTGAAGATCCTACCAAACCAGCCCATGTGTGCAAGTTGCACAAAGCCCTTTATGGACTTCGTTAGGCTCCGCGAGCTTGGTATGCTCATCTCACTCATTAGTTAGCACAGATGGACTTTTGTGCATCTGCAGCTGATACTTCTCTATTTGTGTTTTGCTCTAAGCATGTTACTCTGTATCTACTTATCTATGTGGATGATGTCTTACTAATTGGGAACTCCCAAAGTGCTATTCATAACTGCTTTCAGGAGCTCTCTCGTCATTTCTCTCTTAAGGATCTAGGCTCTACTACTTTCTTTCTTGGTATTCAACTTCTTCGGCATTCTAATGGGGTACTTCTTAGTCAGCGTCAATACATTACTGATCTGCTACAGCAATCTCACATGGATGCTGCTAAACCTATTTCCTCTCCTATGGTTGTTCACCCCAAGCTTACTCGTCATGATGGCTCTCCTCTTACTTACCCTACTAAGTATTGGGGTGTTGCTGGTACCCTTCAGTACGTGGCTATCACCCGTCCAGACATCTCCTTTGTCGTCAGCAAGGTCTCTCAGTTCCTGCAGGCCCCTACTGATGTTCACTGGGCAACTGTGAAACGCATCTTGCGTTATCTTAAACATACCATTATGCATGGTCTGCACATCTCTCGGACGTCGTCTACCTCTCTTACTCTTCATGCATTTTCGGATGCTGACTGGGCAGGTTGTCCGGATGACCGACGTTCCACTAGTGGATTTTCTATATACTTAGGGCCTAATCTCATTGCATGGAGCTCCCACAAATAGGAAATAGTAGCACGCTCCAGCACCGAGTCTAAGTTTCATGCTTATGCTACGTCTGCTACTAAAGTGATGTGGATTTCATCTCTTCTTCGAGATCTTGGCGTCACTCTCTCTGAGATACCTACTATTTGGTGTAACAACATTGGTGCCACTTACCTTGTTGCCAACCTTCTGTTCCGTGCTCGGATTCGGCATGTTGAGGTTGATTTTCACTTTCTCCGAGATCTTGTGCTCACACGATGGCTTACTATGCGGTTCATCTCTTTCAAAGATTAGGTTGTTGACATTCTCAGCAAGCCACTTTCCGGTGATCAATTTCGCTTCTTGCGGGACAAACTCCATGTTCATGATGAGCATGGAGTTTGAGGGGGTGTATTCGAGTATATCCAATTGTTACACTCTTGTATATCTAGGACTCCATCCATAGGATAACAATTAGCCTTAGGAGTTAGGATAATTGTTATCCTACTAAGATGAGATCTATTTTGTGTACTAGCTCTTGGTTATTATCTAGGACTCTATCTCCCCTCTTTGTACAATTCCTCCATTATAAATACAATGTAAGGCCAATGGCCAATTCACTGCGCCCAAATATTTTTTGGCCTTTCTTTCCTCTAAGTGCACTCTACATATTTGCATTTGTACTCCTTCCAAACCGAGCCTTAACATGTTGATGATTTTTCAGGTTAATCAATGATTAGATTTGGTCCTTCAGTGCTACTAGGCTCAACCAGAATCAGTGTTAAAGATTCAAACCATTATTGATCTTGTATCTGAGGAAAGCAAGGCCGGCAGAAGGTGAACAATGGGTCGAACTACATACAGTGTTGGGTCAATATTTATTTTGCTGAAAGCAGCCAGCTTGTCATGGTTGACTGGTGTCTGCCCCTAGGCCGATTAATGGATTGGCAGTTTGGTACATGGTGGAGAGATCGGAGTAGTAGGGAATAGAGCATAGGGAACATGGAAATTTGTACAGTTCTACGACACCTAACAAACCTTCTTTCGATTGGATTGGATTGGATTGTCAGTCCTCTTTTAATTAATGATTATTATGGTTAATTATTAAATTATTATTTATTCTGGTAATGTGCCAAAATATAGTCATCAACAATCAACATAGCAAATAATGGGACCCACTTAAAATATGACCCATTGTCTTCTCAGGCGAAGGTTCGCGTTAGATGATCATTGGCATCTATAACTGGATCATATGACCCTCTCGATCCATAAGTGATCGCCGGTGGTTAGCAAATTCATCTAAAAATAAAAAACAGTCGGCGGTCGTTGCTATTAAATATGAAACACCTCGTTTTGTTCTCAAACGGAACTATGTTCTGAGACGATTGTATGCAGTAACAATAAGCAGGACCGGTCCATTTCACATTCCTATGACCCTCCCAACCATGGCGACCACCCATAAGTGATCGCCAGTGGTCGAAGATCTCATATAAAGTAAAAAATTATCTATGGTCGCCAGTAGTAATTAAAGAACACCTTATTTTCTTCTAAGGCGAAAATGTCTTCTCAGGGTAACAATGATTTATTGTGTGTGAAACACAGAAACATAGTTCATGAGACAAAAATAAACTTCAACGTCATACTGTCAAACACGAAACTGAAACATGCATGCAATAGCAGAAACACATCACTGAAACATGTTTGCAATAATGATAAACTAACTGGAAATGGTGTAATTGGTTGAAGTTCCAAGCGTCCAAAAATATCCTCCAATGAATGAACTAATTGTAAACTCTCAGAAATTTCACAGGTGATTCATCCCTGCAAATTAATTGAGATTGACTGAGAATGTACACAGTTTGGATGGGGGTGAGTTGTTGGAAGAAATATTTTCAAATTCGCATGATACGTAATATTTGTTTTATTTTCTTAAAAATAAGGAACGTGTGCATACCAAACTGGATTAACTGCTATAATCCAAGTCTGCTTTGCAAATTGAATTCATTTTCCTGCAAAAATGGAACTCTACAGCGTTAGAACCTGGCCTACTAACCCGATAACCTCTCCTCTTCTTGCATTTTAGGTATGTGGCCTTCCAACTGACTACATTCTAGAATTACCTAACTGACTAAATTCGAATGAGGGATTTAGGATTTTTGAAATATAGGTATGTGACCTACTAATTGAATAAACTCTCTCCTATATATATCTTTACCCTTCACTTGTACATATACCCTCGCATTAGTTTCATTATAAATATTGAGAATTCTCTCTCAACCTCTAAACCAACGAGTCGATGTTATAATCTTAGTTGGTAAGATCTCTGACCTATTGCAGTAGACACCTAGGATCAAATCCCACTGCCACAAGGTTGGGCCGTTGGGGGACATAAGGCGATGGGGGAGCTTATGCTACTATTTGATAGTCCATTAATGGTGAAGAGGTATTTGAATTGGACCTCATGCAATATGTTCTTGGACACACTAGCTAGTTGAACACACTAGCTAGGCTCTTATTTGAACTACTAATATTGCTTCTAGAGGTGATTATAAGAATATAAAGCTTGGCTTTGAAAGGAGAGCGGCCAATATTGCTACATCTCTTTCAACATTTCTTGAGAATGAACATCTATTAAAATGGCATCACCCCTCACCCAAAATTGTTTCCATCTATTATTTTAGAAAATAATTTCCCTTTGTCTTTCAATCACATACTTGATTTTTGTAGTCATTGCCTTATGTGCAAATCACATAAATTTATTGTTGGGCTCACAAGAACCACACATAGGATAAAACTATAACATTATTTGAAATAAAATAGTAACCAAAGAGAATTCAATAGCAAAAAGAAAAAAAAAAGAAGAAGAAAGAAAAAAAGAAAAAAGAAATCCAAGTAAAGACAAGTAAAAACAAGCACCACCAAGAACATTACATGGTTCGACCTTAATGCCTACATCCACGGGAGAGACAAAACTTTTCTTCATTATGAAAGAAAAAGAAATAAAACATAATATCTTGTGGCATATAATCCAAGCCAACTCTTAACTCTTGTGCATCTGTTTTCCCTTTTCTCTCTTAACTAAAAGAACAAAACAAGAGAAAAAAACTCATTTTTACACCAAGAGAACCATTCTTCTCTCAACCTCTCATTTTTTCTTCTCCAACAAAAAAAAGAGTAAACTTTCCTATTCTCTAAACCCTACAAACAAAAGAACACTCTTAAATGTAAAACCCACTTTAACCTAAAGTAGGGAATACACCAACCATTAGATTATACAATCCTAAGAATCTCTACCTTGTGTTATTTTTCAATGACTTCGAAGATCTTCCATTTATATCTTCACTTATTTGCAAATACCACAAATATCCATTGGTTTAGAGAAACATTACTAACTACACATAACCTAAATCACTTGGTCCTAACTTTACCTAATTCAAACAAAATAACCAATGCACCTATATAGTTGTACTTGAGTTAATAATCCTAATTAACTCTAGAGAGGGACTCTAATCCTTCCTCTCCTAGTAGAAACATTCATTTTACCATCATATGTACTTTGAAAGAGACTTTCTCTATGGCCACATTACCTTGTACACTCCAATTTTAGCAATCCATTGAGATCTTGGGGAACCATTGTACTCCCAGCCAAATGTTACATTTTCCTTGCTTTTTTTTCTCTTCATCAAGAACATGCCATTGCATATGATTTTCATAACTAATATTGTAGCATGACCTTACAATCCTTAGAGTCCAACCGACCAAGTGATATTAGATTCATATGCCTTTTTTGGACATATGCCATACCACATCTAAAGTGCAAACCACTCTAACTAGCATCCCAACACTTATGATGTCACAATTAGACCCATCACTTAAGGAAATAACCCATGTCTTCTTCTTTTGGAATGTATCAAAATATTCCCTCATAAAATAAATATGCATAAACACCCTTTTTTTTGCTCCAATAAAATACCCATTTGATGAAATCACTTATTTGGAGAATAAATAGACATGCCTTTGGAATCATTAGCATCTCATCATTTGATGTAATCACTACACTTTTATAGATTCATCTCCACTCTTTTTTTTTTCTATGTGTGTAGGACAATCTCTCTTTATGTTACCAAACTCCTTACATCTATAACATTGTACCCTACCACATATAACATTTAGGGGTGTAAAGGATCGAATTTGAATTGGATCAGGCAATACCCGAATTCGAATCTGATTAAAAAATTCGATATCCGACGGATATTGAAAATTAATATTCGAATTCAAATCTGATTAAACATTTGAGTATTCGATTCGATTTGAATTTGACTAATTAATTATTTTAGGTAATTAATAAATATATAAAATAAATATTTTCTTTATATAAAGTATATAAATATATAAATTATTTATATAATTTAATTGTTATATATAAATTATATAAAACATTTAAAAATTTTATATATTATATATAATAATTAAATAATCGGTCGAATTTGGATATTTATCGAATCGAGTCAGGCATATACGAATTCAAATCCGATTAGCTATTCGGCATGAATAGGATATCTGAATTCGACCGGTTAGATATTCGAATTATCCAAATTCGACTCGATTATGTAGAATCTCAAATTCGAAATCGTATTTTCGAATACCGTTGACACTAGGGTTGATTATGGGCTGGGCTGGGTCGAGCCTAAGCCGGGCTTTGCACTTATGATAAGAGCTATAGTTTAGGCCCGGGTGTTAGCACCCAATTTTTGCTCAGTCCCTTCTTTGACCCATCTCCTACTTTCCGGATGTCCGATTGGACCACACCAATCACTTTAAAACATGCCTAAACTCTAAGAAACCAAATTTTAGCCCCAAATACCCATAAATCCACCATTAAATCTACTTGATTCCCTTTTGATGGTCTTGATTATCCCACATCACCATACATGATCCCCAATCAAAACCCATCACGTGAAACAAAATCCTCAAACAATCAATCATGCAAAATTTCAACGCCAAATTCCTGGATTCAGCCAATCATCCATTAGAGATCCCATTCCGACGCGTAGGACACTACGATGCTCCTCAAACCTAAAACTCGTGATCTATACACACATAACATGATCAAACCCTTCCAAAAGCCTCATAATCTCAATCCATACCTACCCACCAAATTTTATCCCAAAATTCCCTCATTTGACCTAATATCAAGCTTGGATTCTGTTTTGGCGAATCTTATTGATTGAAAGCTCACCTATCACAAACCTCCATTATCCAAGCCTTATCTGACCAATCAGACCCCACCACCATGTTTAGTGACCCAAAGAATCCCAGCACATAAAATTTAACGACTGAACACCTCCATTTGATCGTTGAAAAAGCAAGATTCCATTCTGGACCCTCTTGTTAATTGAAAAACCAAAAGCTAAGACCATGATCTGAACTAAATTAGTCAATCCACACCTTTGATCAAAGAGCCATCACTTCCACCAGATTTGGGATGTTTGAAAATGCCTCTCCACCAAATTTCATTCCAAAATTCCCCCGTTTGACCCTTCATCAAACAATGATAAAGAAATCTTATTGATCCAAACTTGTCATCCACAGATCTCAATCTTCCCAACCCATTTGTCTAATCAGACCTCACCACTGTGTTTAGAGACCCAAAAAACTCCAACACACTAAATTTTATTATCAGATTTATCTGTTTGACCATTAAACTAGAGAGGTACCTTTTTGATGCACTCGATTGAACCACCACATCAGCTATCCAACCTAAGATCTTAAGTGGGTGTAGACTGACGTCAGATCCTTACTTAACCCCATTAAAACACTTGGACCAATGATTTTGAGCCTAATAGGCTTAAAAACCCAAAATGCCAAACATGCCCTTACTTAAAATCTAGAAAAGACAAAATAACATTTAAAAGTTCTTCAAATTTATGTTTTCTGCCACTATCAGCCCCAAATACGGGGCTGCAACGTTTGGCATGCCCTAATCCCTCATTGGACACACAAAACCCATGAGAAACCACCCAAAATCGAGAAGATTTGTTGCACAAAGAAGGAAGGGTCAACTACAAGCTCATTTTCTCTAAAAATCCTTGCCTATTTCGATGAAAAAACTCTGTTGAGCTGTAGACACTGTACCTAGACAAGTTTCAGACCCATCTCCCTCCATTTTCTTTATAAATAGAGGCTTAGCTCGAGCTTGAAAGGGGGAGGAGGGGAGAGCTTTCCAACTCCTATAATACGCCCAACTTGCTTAAAATCCTGGAATCCTTACAGCCAAGCTCAAGCCTCATCCTTTGTTTTCCAGTCTCAACACCAAAAGCGCCCAACCTAGGTCCTACCTTGTTCAAGTTTCATTTGAAGTCCTTTCAGCTGCTGAAAAACTTGTATCAATGTCATACATGAGAGGTAAGCCTCTCATTCCATCATCTCTTTGCTTTTAGTTTAGTTTCAGGTTGCTTAAAGCTCTGAAATTTTGGGAAATTTGCATTCCTATCTTCCTCCGAATTGAGAAAAAGAGGTAGAGAGGCGAGGGTCTTAGGGAAACTAGTACCTAAGACCTGATAACATCACCTCAAAACAATTCTTGGCGAAGTTGGGAACATTTTTGCCATATTTCAGGAGCTTTAGACAATCTTGTTAGTGTGTGTTTATGTCGGAATTTGAGCCTAAATTACTCCCGTAGTGGGCTGCTATAACAGCTTGGAGAGAGGGGTGCCTAACACCTTCCCTCTCCCAATCCTTTGAACCCAAAGCCTTTTGGTTCAGTGCCTTTCCTTGGTAGAGAACGGAGTCGCTATCAAGGTCAATAAACCGTTTTTCAAACCCGAAAATGAAGGCCCATTTCCTCTAAAAAATGAGTGGCAACTCCAACTCCTTTGAACCGGCCATGAGCTTCCCAGAGCTCACACTGAGCTTGGCCCGGCCCAGGGCCCGGAGCCTGAAACATAAGCCCTAGTCCAAGTCTACATGGGCCCTGATCGGGTTGGGCCTGATTCTCGGCCAATGTCTTTCATATATAAAATATTACAAATCTATAATACTTTATATTAAATGACATAACATGCACATAAACTTATATTATACATTATATAATATAAAATATTACATATAACATAAATATACATGTCATGTTATAATATTTATTTATAAAATATATAATATAGTGTAAAATAACATGTATACATATGTATACATTATACACAAAATGTTTAAGTTCAAATATATGTGGGTCGGCCTGGTCCCTAACCGGGCTCGAAGTATTAAGCCCAAGCCTAGCCCAAACATTTGCGGATTTGATGTGGGGACTGGGTCTGGGCCGAGCCTGAACATAAAACACAAGTCCAAGTCTGGAATTTTCGGGCCGGGCAGAAATGATCACCCCTAGTTGACACCCCTAATAACATTGGTATGAAATCCTTACCAAACTTAAAGGTCTGTTTGGTTCCCAAGAATAGGTGCCTAGAATTGGAATTGGAATGGCCCATTCTAATTCCTATCGTGGGCAAGAATGAGATTCCGATTCCCATTCTTGTGGGAATGAGATTCTCATTCTAGTGTCTACCAAGAAGTAAATAACTCGTTACAAAAAGCACCCAAATCTTAATATTAACAAAATAATAAAATAATATTAAATTATTAACAAAATATTAGTAAAATAGTAATAAAACAATAGTACTATAATAAAAATATTAATAAATTAATAGTAACAAACAAAAATATTAATTATTAAATATAATAATAATAATAATAGTAAAGTATAAATGAAATATTAATACAATATAATTAAAGTAATAATAAAATAATAACCAATGTTTTAAAATCCAACCTAGAGGTCAAACCATTTTTGCCTTCAGGTCATAGGTCACTGGTTCAACCAACCAGATCGAGCGGTTTCAGACCGTGCTACGTTAACGCATATACATATTATATATAAACACATGTATGTATGTATGTATGTATGTATGTATGTATGTATGTATGTATGTATGTATGTATGTATGTATGTATGTATGTATGTATGTATGTATGTATGTATGTATGTATGTATGTATGTATATGTATATATGTGTATAAATATATATTTTAGCAATAAATAATGTATAAACATGTTATATGTATTATTTTATATTTAATTTATGTTTTTTAATTCAGTTTTTGTTTTTTATATGTAAATATATTAAAAATTGCAATTTGAGGCCAAAAAGGGTGTTTTTTTTTTGTGAAAATAATTGGGCCCAATCGAACATCAGAGTGCAAAGTATGGTCTCCGAAACTTTTGCATGCATTGAGTGTGCAACGTGACCTGGTCACTAGATCGAATGGGCCAACAATTGAACCGGCTGGGTCAAACGGTTCTTGACCAAGTTAACGGTTTTTGATTGAACCGGACCCGAAATCCTAGTCGAGTGATGGTTGAGTTGAAAACCTTGATAATAATAATAAACATTAATGATTAAATAATAAATATTATGAAAGTAATAATAATATTATAAAATATTTATAAAATAATAATACTATGATAAAATATTAATAAATTAATAATTAAAAGAAAAGATATTATTTATTTAATAATAATCGGCCATAAACCTAATTAAGTACAAATTAAATATTAATATATTATAATAAATGTAATAAAAAAATACTAACATATTAATTATAAAATAATAATAAATTAAATTTAAAATAATAAACAAAAACAATAGAAAATTAATAAGCTAATAAGAAAAGAATAATAGAACAATAAATTATTAATAAAATATAATGATAAAAATATTATTAAAGTAATAATAATATAATGACATAGTAATAAAATATTCGTAAATTAATAGTAAATACTAAGATATTAATTTTTAAATACTAATATTATTTATGAAGTAACAACAACAACAACAACAACAACAACAACAATAATAATAATAATAATAATAATAATAATAATAATAATAATAATAATAATAATAATTAAGTAGAAATAAAATATTAATATAATATAACTAAACTAATAATAAATTAGTAACATATTAATAAAATAATAATAAATTAATGATAAATACTAAGATATTAATTATTACATACTAATAAAATAATAATAACAAAGTTCTAATAAAATAATATTTATATATTCATAGAATATTAATAAAGTAATAATAAAATAATACATATACTAATACAAAATTAAAAAATTTCAGTTGATTTCAATTGCAACTACCAAAACAACAACAATCGAAATTCGATTCTGATTCCAGATTGAACCACAGGCCATAGGAATAAGTGATTTGTTGCTATTCCGAGTCTGATTCCACCCTTATTGTTGAATAAGACGGAAGCACTTATTGTCAAAATTGCCTGTCCATAATTATCAAAAAATCGATACTACCCCTGTATGAATAAGATCTTTTTTGTTCACTTGACACTTGACAGTTTAGTGTTTACACTCTCCTGTGACTGGAAGCAGCGGTGGTGAAAGGAGCAAAACGAACCCCAGCGGCGGTGAAAATCTCATCACAGGTTTGTTTTTCAGTTTTTTAGTATTTTCCCGTTGCATTTTCTCAGGTAGTATTTTCCGTCTTAAAGCGTCTCATGCCCTGTATCTTATCCAGTGTTTGTTCCAGGATTTCTTATCTCTGTTTGTTCGATCTTAAATGTGTTATTTGTATCTGTTCTTTTTGTTTGTTTGTTTGTTTGTTGTCTTTTTTTCATTGAGGATTAAGTTAGAGAATCATAGGTCATCTGATGTTCAATGTAACTTTTTGGTGAATGGTCTGCAAACACGAGCAAAAAAATTTTGCTCAGACATGCTTTAATGGTAAAGGGTATTGCTGCCTTTAGCACCAAGTTCTGACTTCTGCGGTTAATGTTACCTAGTTTCATCTGTAGAGAAGTAGAAGAGTTGTAATCAAAAGATTCAAAACCATTGAGGCTTGAATTCAGAACCTGATGTCTAAGTTACTGTCCATTCCTATACTCGTCAGTTTCCAAATTTTCCTTGTCCATCTTACATTTATACATTAGTTTGAAAGTTCATTATAGCTCAACAGTATAAGGGGGCCCTTTTATCATGATCTTCAAAGAAGAATATTCATAGTGAACTTAAACTGTCACAGGAACAGAGGGTCCATGTATTGAATACCCAACCAATCTTATACCATGGTCTCTCCTCTCAACCAGTGGCAAAACATTGGGTTGGGGATATAGGTTAGAAGAGATAAGAGAGGGAGGAGATGAAGAAATCAGTGGAGAGAACAGAATGGTCTCTCCCTCAATCAATTAGCTTGTATGGATGAAAATAATCATGGGTAGAACGAGAAAACTACCCTTACATAAAACTGACTTTAATTATTAAAAAAGATTTGAATAGAATACATGCTTCAAGCCTAAAGAGTTTGTAGATCATGGAAACAAATCAAGGAAAAAATGGAGGAGGACATCAAGCAGTGTGGACACCTGAACTACCTAAAGTATTTGTTGAACTTTGCTTAAAACAAGTCTTAGTTGGCCATACCAACAGCTACCAGCATTGACAAATTTGGCTGGGAACAATCATTGAAGAGTTCACTGCAATTAATGGGAAACATTGTGACAAAAAATAGATGAAAAAATCACTAGGATGCAACTAAAGTGGTTGGAAGATTTTCCATATGGCCACATACAATGGGCCTGGATGGGATCCTGTGAATGAGACATTCACAGTAGGAGATGAGTTCTGGGATGAATACCATAGGGTACAAGTTGTTATTATACCTAAGGTTAAGATTTGTTTTAGGTAAAAAGATGAGTAATCATGCCCCTGTATACTACATACATATCCAAAAGCTGCCCAATTCAGATACAAGGGCCTCCCTCATTCAACCCATTTGGATATTATATTTGGATCAGCTATGCAATAGCTTAGTTTAGTCTGAACACTTGTTTCTTCTGCTTGGTGAACTTTGATGTTTACTTTCATATGGATGATCATATGTTGAAGTATTACGGTTTAACATAATAGCAATGAGAAGATGGAGAAGTCACTTATTAATAAGTTTTAAAATAGTAACTCTAATGAAAAAGCCACTTATTTAATAAGCACCTCACCAAACACTCAGAAGCTACTTATTCAACAATCACTTATTCATAAGAATTTATTTGAAAAGACCATTTGGAAACAATAAGCACTCCCAAACACCACCTGAATTTCATCCCAGTTACGTATTGGCAGTGATGGCCGTTATGGTGAGAAAACTGGCAGTTCTCTGCTCTTCTAGCGTAGAATTTTGCAATATGTCTAAGAAGATTGGATGGACCTGGGGACCACACTTACGTCAGTACTTATCTAAATGTTCATCTGACCAAAAGGTGTCAAGAAGTGTCACAATCAATTCAGGCAAGTTTGCAACAACCTCCCCATTAATTGGTCAAAAGTGCAGCTGAAGTTGCATTTTTTGACTAACTGAAGGTGACATGATTTTTTTCCTGTTTTAGTGTGTATTCATAGAGTTTATGTTTGAAGAACTCCTATACAGACATAGAGAAATATGCCTGCTTAGCTAAAGCTACATAAATCCTTTGTTAGCAAAAATCTATAAATGCACATTGAAACTTATCATTGTGCAGCTAGCAGCTTGATGAAGCATGGATGCTATTTATTCTTATTCTATCAGAATAGATTTCAAAATCCAGATGAAATGTTGTTTGCTCTGTTCTGGTTCAGTAGTGGTTACTGGCTATATATGTGATATTTGTAAGGGGGGAGTTATTAGTTGAGTTTGCTATTCTTAGTAATGAGTTTTGGATTCCAGTTCCTAAATTACTTCAATAGGGCTTCCAGTATCTTTCTTTTTATAACTGACTTTCACTTGCAAATGCTCCAATTTCAAAATCAGAATATGATTGTGGTTCAGATTATACAGACTTTCATAGGTGGCATAATGATAGTGGCTTTGTCCACAAATCAGCACAGGTTGATCCGACTACACTCATAGAAATTGGTGCAGTAGTTCATCCAAAATTTTACTTGGTCAGCATGTCCATATTGGATCAGGAGCTGTTATAGGAGGTGCTGTTGTTTTTGGGGATTCGACAAAATAAGGTACAGTTTCTTCTTTATGCTATAACCTTATTGGTCTTTGTGATTGTGAGTGCATTATAATAACACGATTCTTACAGCTTTAGTATAGAATCAAACCACAAGTTCAGAATGGCAATGGATGCTTTTGATGTTCCTTCATGTGTATAGAGCTTAAGTTCATGTTCATCCGGAGCCTGCATTTTTGGCAACCAAAGAATATACTACATGCATAACTGCATATTGTCGTATAGTTAAAATCTTGAAATTGCTTGTAATCTGAACATAACGCTAGCTGGTAGTTTAGGACATTTTCTAATGAAGCAAGGTCTATTCCTATACTCTCTTTTCCTGAATGAGACTAAAAAGGACATGTTTGAAATATAAAAAAAACCTGAACATTCACAGTTTAACATAGGAAATAGTCCTTGATAGAGTGGATGCAAATGCCAAATCAATGGATAAGGCTTTATTGAGTTGATACTTCATATTTTCTTTTCTTGATTCGTTTAGCCAACCCCAAATGGATGGATAAAGTTTTGTTCAGTTGATACTTATTATTTTCTTTTCCTGACTCATTTAGCAAACCCAAATAGATGGATAAAGCTTTGTTGAATTGACAATTGACAGCACTAAAAAGTTGACACTTGGGCAGCATTCTGTTGGAGGTCTAGTGTTGAGACCCAAACACTCCTTCCAGAACCCACCAGGGGAGTGGAGCAGGCCACCACCCATCAGCCATTCACAAGGAGGCAGAGAAGACAGGCGACAGAGCCCCAGAATTAGTTACACTCAGAGTTGGTTACTCTGCCGCCAGAGGATATTCCATCCATGTTATCTGCCAGAGTTAGTTACCCAGAAATCAGAGGATATTCCCTCTGATATTACACCTGTAGGCCAGCTATATAAGGCCATCATCATATAATGAAAGCAATGAATGATTCTCCTTTAATTTTCTTCTCCCTGAGTCCAGTTTATTCCTTCCTTCCCTTCTCTTTTTCTCTCCATCTTCTGTTTCAGGAGGTCAAGCCTCCCTCGAAGTGGCTTCCGAGGTGAGCGGAAACTCACCATCTAGTTACTGTCCATTACCTTTATAATAAGCCCTTAGATGATACTGATTTCTAACTCAGTTTCACAAATAATTTCAAAGAATTGCTTGTTCAACTTCTTTCTCTCTCACTAAGATTGTGCAATATAGAATTGATACCTTTCTTTTTTGAAGAGTAAGGAAGAAGTTTTATTAAAATAGAAAAGAAGGATACAATCCGATTGGGTGTCAAGATAACACCCCACCATTCAAGCACTAGGAAAACAGATTTACATTACAGGCTGGAATCTCTGGAACACCCTAGAAATTTTCCACCAGATCTACACTGTTAATATGGAAAAATTCTGGGAGAACCAAAACCCAGCTTGAAACAAGCTTTCCGATTGATGCCACCAAAGCTTCAATGCCTTTTGATTTGTCCTTGAACAACCTTCTTTTTCTTTCCTTCCCATCACACTGCGAAAGGAATGCAGTGTTACTGGACTCAACTCCCCGTCGGGACGAGGCTCTGGTTCTACCTCGAGCTATGGTAATTTCTCACAAAGGTCAGTAGTTCAAGACAAACAAAATATGAGGTAAAAAGGTGTATTGCTTTATTCATTCTATCGTTATATAGAGAGGGATCTGAGGGTCGTTACAGGGGAATCATGAACATGATTGCTATCCTAACTAACTACGGAACGACCATCAGGGAGGGAATCTCGCAGTGCCAGCTAGCAACCCAGGTGTAACATCCACACCCCTTAAGCTAATGCCTAGTCCTCGAGGTGTGCATCGGGAAACCTCTGTTGAATCTTCGTCAGTAACTCCCAGGTGGCATCAGTATTGGGAGTTCCTTTCCATTGCACTAAAACTTCAGTGATGACCTTGTTCCCCTGCTTCACCATTCTTTGTACCAGTATAGATTTCGGGTAGGGAAGAAGTGACCCGTCTGCCGAAACTGAGGCATGGTGGTATGGGTTCGAGTCGGGTCCCCTACCGACTTCTTCAACCAGGATATGTGGATCACATGATGAATTTTACATCCTTCAGGCAAGGCCAACTTATAAGCCACCTGCCCGACCCTCTTCTCCACTTTGTATGGTCCATAATAATGGGCAACCAATTTCTGGGAATGCCTAGCTGAAACCAAAGCTTGCCTGTATAGCTGTAGCCGGAGAAAGACCAGGTCTCCCACCTGAAATTCCTGTTCAGTACAACATCGGTCTGCAAATGCTTTCATCCTTTCTTGAGCTCTATGTATTTGTTCCTTTATCTTGGCTAGAGCGGCGTCTCTGTCATGTAATTCTTCCTCCGCAGCTTGAACTCTTGTAGCACCTGGTATGTAAGTCAGTAAATTTGGGGGTGGATATCCATACACTGCCTGAAATGGGGTGGTGTGAATGGCAGAGTGGTAGGAGGTGTTGTACCACCACTTAGCCAGAGGTAGCCACTGGGCCCAAGTCCGAGGCTGAATCCCTGCAAAGCATCTTAGGTAGTTGTTATGAAGGAGAGAAGAATGGAAGAAGAGAGAAAAGAGAGAGAGAACAAGAGAGAAGAGAGAACTGAGAGCAAAAGATACTACTGGTGGCGCAACTTTTTTAGTATATATACTAGGGCGACAACAACTAAAATAAAAAATAGTAAAAGTACAATAGTACCCCTGTGGTACTATACATAGGAAAAATAACAGCTGTTAACACTCCCCCTCAAGTTGGAACATAGATGTCAATCATGCCCAACTTGTCACATAAATCATGATGTTGTGAGTGGTGTAGTCCTTTTGTAAAGATGTCTACAAGTTGATCCTCAGAGTTGACATAGGGAGTACACACTTCCCCTGTAATAACCTTCTCTCTGATAAAATGCTTGTCGACTTCGATGTGTTTAGTTCTATCATGTAGCACAGGGTTAGCTGCAATGTTTATGGCTGCCTTGTTATCACAGAATAGGGTCATAGGTCTGTCCATTAGAAAAACCAACTCACTCAACAGATTCTTTATCCACATAATTTCAACCACTCCATGAGCCATTGCTCGATATTCAGCTTCAGCACTGGATCTAGCTACCACACTTTGCTTTTTGCTTCTCCAGGTAACTAGATTTCCTCCTATGAAGGTACAGTAGCCACTAGTTGACTTTTTGTCATTTAGGGATCCTCCCCAATCTGCATCAGTATACACTTCAACTTTCAAATGTCCGTGCCTTTGAAACAACAAGCCAGCATCTGGAAACCTTTTAAGGTATCAGAGGATTCTTTCTACTGCTTCAAGATGAGTGGTCATAGGGGGCATGCATGAACTGGCTAAGGACACCAACTGCATAAGCAATGTCTGGGCGGGTCATAGAAAGATATAACAATCTCCCTATAAGTCTTGAAACTTTTCCACATCCTTGATAGGTTCACCTAGCTGTCACCTAATTTATGGTTAGGATCACTAGGGGAATCAACTGTCTTCACTCCCATTTTTCCTCTATTCTGGAGTAAATCTAGGACATACTTCCTTTGGGAAATGAAGATACCCCTTTTTGAGCGGGCAACTTCAATTCCTAGGAAGTATCTTAGAGGATCTAGATCCTTTACTTCAAACTGTGTGGCAAGAAACTCTTCAACTTTTGGATTTCATCCTTCCAGTTGCCAGTGATAATTATATCATCAACATATACTATCAAAGCAGCAATTTTACCTTCTCCTCTTCTCACAAACAATGTGATCAAATTGACATTGCTTGTATCATTTCTGCTGAATCGCTGCATGGAATCTGCTGAACCAGGCTTTCGGTGATTGTTTCAGCCCGTATAAAGACTTCTTCAACCTACACACCTTTTGTTCATTGCCTTGAGCCTGAAAACCAGGGGGTTGTATCATGTAAACTTCCTCTTCAAGGTCACCATTCAAGAATGCATTCTTGATATCAAGCTGATGTAGATCCCAGTCAAGATTAGTA